TCTACTCTACTCTACTCTACTCTACTCTACTCTACTCTACTCTACTCCTATTCTGTTCTGTCCTGTCCTGTCCTGTCCTATTCTTCTCTATTCACTCCACTCTATTAAGATAAAAGAAAAAATGGACCATTAAAATGTGTCTTCTATTCCTACTTAATGTAACATGTGGGTTCCTTGGTAGCTAAGAAGTTGTCTGAGGAGAGAAGAACAGGCCGTCTGAGCTTCGTTTGTTTTCTTGCAGGTATTTCTTTACCAAGCTTCAAAATTCAGTCTCTTCTAGCACTGATGATGTTACCTACTTGGGTAATGAAATGTCTGCAAGAAAACACCCAAGCTCAGAGAGCAAGGACCTCACAGTTCAACTCTACCAATATTCTCTACCAATATTCTCTTTTATCAGTAAGAACTGGTTGATTTTATACATACAATGTAATCAGTGGTGCGTTTCAAAATAGTTTACCACCGGTTCGGCGGGCATGGCTTGGTGTGCGCGTGCACACACACTTTGCGCGGGTTTTCCGACTCACCTCCTGCAATGTCCCTGTCGCTTCAGCAGCTGATGCGTGGTACTCTGCTGTGCCGTGCCAAGCAGCTGGACCCCAAAAGCGGGGAATAAAGGTCAGTACGGGAGCCCAGGCGGTTGGGTGCGCCCAACAGCAGCTCCTCAGAGAGAACTGGTTCGGTCTCTGCCAATCTTCAGCGCTACCGCTCCGCCAGAACTGGGTCGAACCGGTAGAATAGCACAACGGAATGTAATGTAATTGCTACAAGTCTTGGAAGAATAGGTTAGGGACGGACCATCGCAGAGAACATCTATCTAAGCAGTCACTAAGAATGGACAATGATTTGATGGCACATAATTAATTGTTGCCATGCAGCCTTTGATGACATGTTTTGCCTCATCAAATTCAGTTAGAAGAGATCAACGTTTTTCAGAGGTTGGTTTCACAAGACCGGCAAAATCATTTGGTAATTTGGTTTATTTTGGATCACCCCGTCCCGTATCCTCAGTCACCATGGTTTGTAAATCACGGGTTATGACTTAGCATATCATGCAAACCTAGTCTGTGGTATATTTAGGAAACTACCATTCACAGTGTGGTTTTGCATTTCCTTTCCTGGAATAGTAGCTTGTTTGCTTGTGTGTATGTTACTGCTTTTCACCAGTTATTTGGAAGTGATTCACAGGAGTTCTTCTATGCTAAAAACAGGTTAATGGCTGTGGGAAGTCAACGGAATGCATGGATTGTTAAAACTGCTTGAAACATAGCAGACCAGAAATGATTCTATAGGAGAGGTGCCATAATTGATTTCCTGCTTGGTTATTCTTTAAAACCACTTAAAAATACTTATTTTTAAATTCCTATCTGCTTTCAAAACTCGATGCTGGTCTAGAATTGTATACTTCATGCTTCCTGCTGATAAAAATTTATATATATATTTTTTCCTACAGCTGCCTTGGTTTGTTGCCTTTTAGTTATTTTTATGAGACTGGTCCATTGTTCTAAAGTGTATTGAAATAGTTTTGTTACACCGCCGTGGTAGATTAATTAACTGATTAATTAATTGATTGCTTAATGCATGCCTACACTCCTTTTCAGCCCAAATAGTACAGCTAGTCCTTGGGTTATAACCATAATGCTCATAAAGTGGGCCAATCATATGATCAACCCAATTTTACAAACTTTTTTGTTGTGGTTAAATTGACTTATAGTTCACAGTGGGACTGTTGCCTCTTCCCCTCCACCCCCCTGCAAAAAATAAATAAATAAAAAAAATCCAAGCAAATGGCTGGCTGGGGAATGCTGGGAGTTAAAGTCCTCAGGTCTTAAAGTTCCCAATGTTGGACACCCCCGATTTAAGTGGACACCTCTGCTTTTAATGGAGTTTATCTCTATGGGCCTTTGGATGGTTGATTTATCATAATGCCAGCCTTCCAGAAACTAACTAGCATTTTTTTTAAAAAAAAAATTGACTTGATCCAAAATGTCCATCATTTCAAAGTTGAACTAATGGTTGAGTTTGTCTTGAATTTGTCCCTCCGGATTCTACAGAATCACTTGGCCTTTTCAATGTTCAGAATAGAAGAATAGAAGGATTCCATAACGCAAGTATTTCTCAACTTAGTTATTTGAAGATTAATGGACTTCAACTCCCAGAGTTCCCCTGCCAGCACAGCTGACTGGGAAATTCTAGGAATTGAAGTCTCCATGCATTTTCAAGCTGCCAAAGTTGAAAAACACTACCCTAACCCCAGTGGGCTTTCTACTCATTTCAGTGAAGGGCCTGTCATGCCATTTGTTCTAACCCAGCTCCTCAAATACGACAAACCCTCTGAAGTTAACTCAAAGATTACTTTAATTAGGAGCAACCGCAAAAAGTTTCTCTCTCACCACAGGCTAACAAGTCTGTCCGGAAGGGAGATGAATAGTTGTCTGCCACATCTATTTCATCTCTGTCCCCTGCCTTTTATCCCCAGAGCTAGGGTGAGGCTTCACTAGCAGTGGTGGCTCTTCCATCCCAAGGACCATCCCATAGATTTCCCCTGCTCTCCTCTCCTCTTGTCTTCTGTGCATCCACGCATCAGGTACTAGACCCAGCTGTTCCTCCTCTTCCTCATCAGCTACCTCCAGACCTGGAGGCTGTTGACTCTCCATCGGAGGGCTGATGGATGGTCCAGGCTCTGCCTCTGTCTCTCTCTCTCTCTGACAGCTCCATTCCCTCTTCCCCCTCGGAGCTCTCAGGTTGCCTTGATGCTGATCCTGACTCCCACGCCGCCGCCGCCTCCTCCTCCTCCTCCTCCTCCGATTTGGCTGGTGGAGGGGCCGGTGGCTGACAGGCCGCAACACTTGTCTTTTTTATTTAAACACACACACAAAAAAAGCTTTGGGTAATTTATCTTGATTGAGCTTGATTTCTTGACTAGCGCTTCTGTCAAGTTGAGGAAACATTGCCCTCTGTCCATCTCCCGACATAACGCCGGTTCTGATATGGAAATGAGGAAAGCTGTTCCATCAAATGAACAAAAAAGAAATGGCTTTCCCCCCCCCCCCTCCCCATCCCATGGCGCATATTGAAATGAACGGAAGAGCCCCTGAAGGGCCTGCTTAGCGGAGAGACCAAATGTTGACAGACAGCTTGGCCTCGGTTTAAACAGTTGTCAGAGGGCATCACCCTCAAAAGGCACCTGTCATTTCAAAGCTCTAAGGGAGAGCAGGGAGGTCTGTTGCCCATCAAGGCAGGGAAGCAGATGAAGTAGAGAACGCATAAAAGTCACCACTATAATGATATGTGTCACCTTAAATGAGGACCCCGATTGTTGCGGGCAATATGGTGACTCCGTAAACTGCCTAGAGAGGACTGTAAGGCACTAGGAAGCGGTATATAAGTCTAAGTGCTATTGCTATTACCCCCTCCTCCCCTCCCCTCCCCTTCCCCTTTCCATCTCTCTCCCCTCCTCACCCTTTCCCTTCCCCTGTCTCCTTTCTGTCCTCCCTTCTCTTTTCCTTCCTTTCTCCCCTCCCTACTCCTCCCTCTCTCCCTCCCCACCCCTTTTCTCTCCCCTTTCTCTCTCCCCTTCCTCTTCTTCCCTATCTTCCCCCTTCCCTTCTCCCCTTTCCCATTCCCCCCCTACTGTCTCCCCTCCCCTTCCTTTCCTTTCCCTCTCCCTCCTTCCTTTTCCTCTCCCCTCCCCTCCCCTCCCTTTCCTTTCCTTTCCCCTCTCCCTCCT